ATCTCAACAATGGGGATGCTTTTTGAGGACTCACTAGAGCAAACAGGCTCTTAATAGGGGAGTGCTAACCTCTCTTGCTGTGGGCATTCATATCCCTCTTCATGTACAAATCCCCGAGGAGTTGGGGCTTCCTGGTCCGAGCTCTAGCCCACGATTCTCCTGGTTTTTGCTGCTGCCTCTGACTGTGTCCCTCCTTGTCCCACTCAGTATGAAAGTGAATTAACCCTGTACCTGGGCGAGATCTGCACAATGCGAACCCTCCAAGTAGGCATTCAGGAGCATATGGTGGCATCCCTGGACCAGGCTTCCAGGGTAGACACCTCCCCCAGCACCATCTTCCTGTGTACCCACTGAGTGTTTGCCTCCATCCCACAGTTCCTGGACCAGGTGTTCAATAGGTGGGAGCCCGTCCCTTCCATGGCACGGTAGGGACTCTGCCACCAGCTAGCTGTGTGTCTTGGAAATATTGTTGCACCTCTCTAAGCCTGTTTGCTCCTCTGAGAAGAAAGGTGGTAAGAGGATGAAACTCACAGGGTTCTTGTAGGGACTAAATGGATGAGCCATGGCAGGTGTGGACCTGGTGCCTGGCTGTGCAGGAGGGGCTGCCAGATGAACTGTGGTTATTTATTTTTTGAACATGAAGTAGCTGTCTGCCTCACTCGTGGTGTTCCTACGTTTGGGAAAGCATATGGAAAGCATATCTGTTTTCCTATTTGTGAAGAGGGTTTGAGCTTCCACATAGCTCGTCTCTGTACTTGGGATATCCAAAACAGGGATCCCTGGGGGCTGGTGGAGGGGCCTATGCTAATTTAGATATCTGGGAAGATTCCGGTTGTGGTTCATTCTTTCAACAAATATACATCAAGCACCTACTGTGTCCAGATACTTTTCAGCAGGCCATGTCCACAGTATGTTGACACCGTGATGTCCTTCTCACCTCCTCTGGATACACATGCATTCTGCCATGTTCTCACAGGGATGGTGGACCTCAGGATCAACTAAAATTGTCAGTGGACTTCAGCTCCAGAAGGAGGGGCTCCTGCTTCCCCAGAACAGTTGGGGGCATATGGAAGCCTGTGGCTGGAAATGCTGGCAGAATCCTGAGTCTCATATGTCTTAGGGTTCTCTTGAGAGGGCTGAGGTCTGGGGGCTTCCTCTGCAGGAGGAAATCAGTCAGTGAGAGTTACGGATGGGATCCAAGTCCCCTGGGAAGCAGAGGGGAGGCTGGGGCTCAGAGCCATCCCCACCACAATCCCATCCCAGCCCTGCCCGCCTCCTTCCACATCCACCCTTCCAGACCCAACCTCCAGGGGACCCAGAAGAGGAGCTATAGTGAGCAACCCACATACACTTCTACCTCAGACCTCATTCCTGAGCATCCCAATCGGGTAGTCTGTCAGAGCAAGAGTCACCGGCCCATGCAGATTCTGTGCCTGCCCTGCCTGAAGACCAGGTCTGTCTCTGCCAGGACAGCCACAGTGGGTGGAGCCATCTCTGGCCAGGCAGGACAGGCACAGGGGCCCGCATCCAAACAAGGGTGCCCTGGGAGAGCAATGTGGATGGAAAGGCCAGGCTCTGACTCTGCTGCCCCCACCCCCCACTACCCCCAAACACCTTCTCTTCCATCTTGGGCATCTGGCCAGAAGAGTACCTTGAGGGCGCTCCATGGAAGGAGCCTGCCGCAGTGACAGCCCAAGTTAGTCAGTCCCAGAGCCCTCCTGCCCCTAGCCTGGGACCACACAGAACTGGCCTGGTGAGGAAGTGCCCAACCTCTTGGTGGGTTCCCTCCATGCTGGTGGCAGAGCAATTGACTCTGATGGATGCGATGAGTGCTGGGCTCTCTTGGGGCAGGGTGGGGGCGGCCTTCTCTCTGGGACTTTTCCCTGAACCTCAGTCAGATGATATGGGCCAATCCCAGCTCCACCTATTACCAACCGTGTGGCCTAGACGAGATTCTTAACCTCTAGGCCTTCACTGTGTACATGTGGAGGGCAGAGATGGGACATAACAGCACCTGCCTCACACAGTGGCTGTGCAGAATGGGAGGACAGAGGGAAGGCAAGGCAGGGCCAGGCCCCTTTGTGGGTGGAGGGCGCTCACTGAGGAGCAGCCAGGCGCATGGGTTGCCCACCCATGTGCTCAGGAAACCTCACCCACCTCAGCACTTATTAGGCACCTAATGTGGATTCTAAGACAGACACCCAAACAAAGCCGCCCCTGTGGGTGCAAGGGGAAAAAGATGTGTACCCGAACAGGGAGACAGACTAGATGGCTGATCAAGAAGGAGGCAGATGTCATCTGGGGAGGGACAGGCATGAGCCACCTTCTGGTGCTTGGAGTTAGTGAGGAAGGGCCAAGTGAAAATCCAGTCTCCCTCACCTGCCAGTACTGGTTCCTGGGTCATCACGTGCTGGTGCCCTCAGTGAACAGACACCAAAGCTCAGGGACTCCCACAAGGCTCAATTCACATCCTCAGCGTCCTGAGCTTCAGCTCAGACCAGTGGCCCCTGCCTGGGCTGTGGGGGACTGGGACTCTGAATTGAGATGGGTCATGCCTGGTGATGGTACCCCTGTCTCCAGAAGCTGTTCAAGAAAGGGCTGCCCCATCACTGCCAGGGCTCCCTCTGGTACAACAGAACTAGAAGGCCAAGGAGCCCTGTCACCCACTGTCTGCACCTCCATCACCCAGTTCAAATGTGGGGAAAACTGCATCATCGCCACCTGATGCAGACACTAGAGCATGTCCAGGGCCCCAGGGTCAGGGGGCTGGGAGAATAAAGGGGTGAGGAGGATGTCCTCACTGACCTTGCCCTTGACCCTGGCAGGAGGGGACCTTTACGGTGGCCACCCTGGAGATGGAGCCCCAGAGAGCCCAGAGAGGCAGCAGCCACATGCAGGTGGGGTGGGAGAGACTCCAGGGAATCAAAGGACAGGGCTCCTCCCTCCCTCCTGGTTGCAGGCGTCATCAAGAGAGGGAGCATTACTCCTCCAGCACTGACTGAAACGCCTCCAACAGAAGTGGCCAGAGCAAGGGCCAGGGAGCACTGGGCTGGTGCAGGGAGTGGGGGAGGAGCAGGGAGGAGCAAGGCTGGCCCCTCCTTTGTGATTGCCAAAGCTGACTGTGGCAAGTTTGCTAAGCAGAGGGGTGGTGTAGGGAGGGGCTGTGGGGAAGGCAAATCTTGGCGGCTCCAAGTAGGAGGCCTGGGTGGGTCGGGGAGCTGAGTGTGAGAACTTTGCTTAGGTAATTAGGGAACTACGGCTGCCCCAGGTGGCTGAGATAGTTTGATCTGATCAACCTAAGGGGGATACCCGAGAGCCAGTGCTCATCAACACCCCCACCCCATGGGCACAGGGCCCGTCCCCTCCCTGACCCGTTCCACCTGACCTGATGATGCTTGGCACTCGATGAATTATCCGGATGTAAGTGAGCCTGGGGAGGGGCAGGACGGGCCCAGGGTCCTGAGCTTGGGAGGAGAGAGATCCTGACCGAGCCCCGAGCTCTCGGCACACCTCCTCTCGAGCGGTCCTCATACTGCCCCGTGAGCCGGGCGTCGCGCCCACTATACTGATGAAGGAACGGAGGCTCCACGGAGCCACCTGCCCCCGTTCCCCAGGAGGTGAAGCGGCCCAGCTGCCTCGCTGCCCAGCTGCTGGAGATTGTGGCTGCTCAGGAGTCAGACGCTCCGCAGGCGCTGTCCACGGTGGCAAGAGAGTGACGTCAGGGAGCACGGGAGTAGGTGAACAATCCCTTCCAGCTCAAGGCCTCAGTTTCCCTGTCTGTCATCTGAGAGGGCTGGGCCAGAAGGTCCGTGAGCCTCCGCTCCGGTGACCGTTTCTTCTGGAGCTTAGTCTGACCCAAGTCCAAGTCCCGTTTTGTGTGCACGCCCTGCCCCCTGGTGGAACCCGGTGGTACTACAACGTGAGAGGCCTGTGGTCCGGACGCGGTCAGGGGCGAGGGACCTTTTTGAGGGGTTTTGGCTATCTGCCTTCCAGGAGAATCTGATCAACTTCCAGGAAAAGAGTTAGGTAAGCAGCTGTGGCATTCACTGCGGGAGGCTGGGGGTGTGAAAGTCGGAGACGCTCCACTTACCAGACACTTCCTGGACCCATCCTCTGCATCTTAGACTCACAGGAAGGGTGATACAGAGCAGAGGAGGAACCATCCCACTGGAGGGTGAGGGGAAGCGCTGGAATCAAGGACAACTTCCTGGAGGCGGGACTGTTTGAACCCATCTCTGAGAACAGGTAGGGACTGGATGGGATTGGAGGGGAGGTGGGAGCCCTTTTAAAGAAAGAGCTATAGACTGGCCCTTGGCCCCACACCCTACCCACACCAGGGCTCCACCAGCATGCCCCACCGGGCCCTGTCACCCTGCTGTTCTTCCCTCTGCCACCAGGAATGCACAGTAATTAGGGAGCTGCAGCTGCCCCAGGTGGCTGCGATAATTTCCAGCTGAGGACTTTGGAACCTGGTTCCAGGCCAAGGAGCAGTTCAGTGAGGATGAGAGATCAGGCTGGGGCAGGACTTGGGTGAGAGCAGGGGTGGACTCTGCCTGGTGGCCAGCAGCAGGAAGCCTGCAGCTGTGACTCCTGGTCAGAATCCTCCCCTAGTATGTGGTGACAGCTGGGCCGTCCAGACTCCAGGTGCTGGGCAGGCACTGAGAGGGAGAACTGAGGTGTGGCTCCAGGTACTCCCAGAGCTGCCACTCTGCCCTGTGGCTACAACCAGTCCTGCCAGTCAGAACCACCGCCTGGGTCAACCAGCAATGGCCTCAGAGCCAAGAAGAAAAGGCCACAGTCAAGCTCAGGTACCAGTGAGTGATCTGATGCACTGGGCAGACTGTCCCAGGACTCAGTGTGGCTTTGGGCTAATTGTGGGCTCAGAGTGTCAAACAGCTGGCACTGGGATCCCAGCTCCATCACTGAATAGCCCTGTGACTGGGGCAGGTCACCTCACCACTCAGGGACTTGCTTTCCTCCTCTGTGAAATGGGCTGATGCTAACTGATCACTCGCATGACTGGGACATTAGTTGCCCTTGTCTGACAGAGGAGAGCTGGTTCCCCGGGCAGTGGGAGCACTCTGCAGCTGTTTGGTCAAGTCCAACTCTGCTTAGCTTCTGGGCCGAGGTGCCCTCAGGCTGCTAAGGCCCCTCTGCAGCTGTTTAAATGACAGTGTCCCACACTGCAGTCAAGACCCCTTCATGAACTGAGTTAAATGGACTGGGCTAGGATTTAAAAAGCAGGGAGAAAATACTAGAAAGCAGCATTCCTAGTAAGGTGAAGTGCTGTCCTGTGACCTGTTGGTCCCAAGTTGTGTATATGTGTGCGGGGACCCTGCATTTAGAACATGTTTATTCTATACAGTGGGTCAGAGTCAGAAAAGTGTGAAAACCGATGGTGTAAATGAATACTTAAGGATATGGCATAGGGTTTATCCAGTTAAAATTTACCAAGCAGTTTATGCAACCTAATGCACGTTATGATTCCATTTTGTAAAAATAACTCACATATGTGGAAAGATGCTAGGGACAGTGGCTGTCTCTAGATTCCAGGATTTTATTATTGATTTATTTGTTTATTTGAGATAGAGTCTCATTCTGTTGCCTAGGCCGGAGAGAAGTAGCATGATCTTGGTTCACTGCAACCTCCATCTCCTGGGTTCAAGTGATTTTCATGCCTCAGCCTCCCCAATAGCTGGGATGACAGGTGTGTGCCACCATGCCTGGCTCATTTTTGTATTTTTAGAAGAGAGGGGGTTTCACCATGTTGCTCCAGTTGGTCTTGAACCCCTGAGCTCAGATGATCTGCTCACCTTGGCCTCCCAAAGTGCTAGGATTACAGGCATAAGCCACCGCGCCCAGCTCAGGAGTTTAAAGTTATCCTTTTGTTGGTTTCATAAATTCTTCTTTCTACAATGTACATATATTCCTTTTGGAATAATAAGCAATGAAAGGTAGCACATGGGGGGAGCGGTGGGAGTGCAGAAAAGAACAGGAGATTGCTTTTGCTTTGATGGAAGGGGGCTCCTCACTCTCCTGGTTTCAGTGCACCAAGGCCACCAAGCTAACCAAGCAGGGCCTCACTGGGTGGAGCAGACCAGGAGGGTAGGGTGAGTGTCCCCAGGTGAGGGAACTAAGCTCAGAGGGTCACACAGCTGTGAGGGGCTGGAGATTTATGGGCTGGGGCCTCCTAAGTCTGTGGCTGAGGAAGCCTGTCTAGATGACATACACAGCTACTGACAAATGAAACCTGTACGCTCAGGCCACTTAATTGAAGAAGAGAAAGTTGACAAGCAAGATGCCAGCAGGCTGGAGGACTCCAAGAGAATGATCTGAGTGTCACAGGATTAAAGGGGCCAGGAAGATTTTTTTTTGTCAAAATACTGCAATTTGCTCAAACTGTGGCACAAATACCAATCAACATTGGATGGATTCTTTTTTGGGTCTAGGAACCAGTGCAGAGTTGCAATTATAACCCATACTTGTTAAATTAAAATATCCTTTTCCCATGACTTTTAATTATTTCATTTTTCAAGATGAAGTGCCAAGCCTGCTGTTTGGAGGTGATGTCCTTTGAAGTTCTGGTGTCTATTTTAAGTGACCGATAATTCCTGCTACTCACCCTCTCTGCTAACCACGTGGACCTTCCCCTTCATGCTTACCTTTCTCATGGGAAGTGGGCTCCACGTGGGCAGGGACTGTTCCGTGTCCTGTTCACTGGTAAAGCTACAATGCCCAGCACAGAGCAGGGGAGATGGATGAAGGGAGGGAGGGATGGACCAAAAGTAGGTAGGCAGGTAGATGGACAGGGAGGGAGTCTGCAGAAGAAAGCATTTATTCGTGGTGGGGTGGAGGAGTCACACATACAGGGCCTCGATGGTGTGCATGGACTGCTTCCAGCTGTCCTTCCAGCGCTGAGCCTCTTTCATCTGAGATATGCAGTCATTGTGGATCCTATTCAGCTCCTCCTCAAATGATGCTAAATATTTCTGGAAGGAAGGTAGCAGTAGGGATCCACATGAGGAGAGGCTTCTGGACCCTCTCCCCTAGGGCAATGCTGTAACTTGCTGGCAGGTGGCTGTTAACCCATTCCAGGCACTGGCAAGAGTTCCACAAGTCATTTCTCACGTAGAAACCAGGCAGGCCTAGTTGTTTCCCCCATTTTACAAGGCAGGGAAACTGAGGCTCAGAGCCTGGCCTGGGGTCATCCAGCTAGAAGGAGGCTGAGCAGGGACTAGGACCTGTGTCTATCTGACTCTAGGCTCAGCACTCCTTACTAAGCTCTGTCCCACACTGTGGCCTCCCAGGAGCTCAGGGGTCCTGGTTTTTTGGTAGGCTGGGTCTTCCAGGCCTCCCACCCTCACTGAACTCAGCAGGCAGAGCTGCTCCCTCTACACTGGGCTTGGAGGGGAAGCTAGGGAAGGCTGACCCTGGGTATTTCAGGCTCTCCCAATAGGGGGGCCAGCTGGTCTCTGGGCAGGACAAGGTTTCTCTCTGGGCATCAGGACCAAAGGTCCACAGGTCTTCAGAACCAAGAGATCCCTCAGGTGGCATCTGGGTGTAGCCTCCTCATCAGGCTGTCCCCAGTGGGTCTGACAGGCACTGGGATCAAATTCTGGCTCTGCTACTCTGTAGTGGCATAGAGGGGACAAGTTTCTTTAAGCCTCAGTGTCCTCATGAGTGAAGGGAGGAAAATAATATTACTTCCTTTGTGGAGTTGTTAGGAGGATTCAGTGAGATGCCTCATGTCAAGAGCAGAAGCTCCCAGTAAGTACTTCCCAGTAAGTTCCCAGGAGCTGTGACTGCTCCTGCTGCTGTGTCCCTACCTGAGTCCACTGCTACCATCACTTCTGTGCCTGGTGATAACGTTCCCTAGCTCTGACCCTACCGTGCCTTTGGAAAGCCTTTCTTCACCCCCAGTCTGGGTGGGGTGTCTCTCAGCTGGGCTTCCGCAGCATTGGGATCACACCTCAGACCCATACTAGCACCAGGACGGGAGATGGCCCACAGCTGCGTCCCCATGCCTGTGCACAGCGGCTGTCCTAAGTGTTGAGACCTGCAGCTCTGGGGTGCACTGACATGTTGCTTGCTATACCAGCCAAATGTTGGGGTGCTGGGTGATGGGAAACTCCCCCTTCTCAAGGCAGCCGGCCTGAGCTGTGCTCCCTGGGACACGCTCACTCCACCCCGTCTCACCAGATACACAGCATCTCGGGCTTCCACGGCCGCCAGGTGGCCCAGGGTGGTTTTGGCGGTGGATATCGATGATGTTGGCCGGAGAAGAATCTTGTTTTGGATGGTGACTTCGGTGGGTTTGATTCCCGGCCACTTCCTACAAACAAATGTGTATGAAAATCTCACAGGCTTGTCTTCACCATTCACAATCTACCTACCAACCCTGTTGGAAAAGCTTAGCATTTCTTTGAAAAAACTGTCATGCTTTAAATATCTTAATGAAAAGAAACATACAGAGCATTAATGCTGCACTTCTTCAAGCTCTGTTTCATATTAGCCCACACTAGTCTAATTGCTGTGTACAGTCTTGGGTTCTGGTGGGGACAGGGAAGTGCCACAGCTCAAGTTGCTTCCCCTGTCTGGGCCTCAGTTTACTCATTGATCTGCCAGCCAGGCGGTGGTCACCAGTGCCTGGTCTGCTTTTCCTACTATGCTCTAAAGACCACTTCCGAGAACACAGCTGGGCAAATCGTTGCTCTGCTTCTTCTTGCAGAGTCACACTCCTGGGGCAGAGGGAACAGGCACACTGCCAACTCTCTTTGCACATGACAGACAGCTGGAGTGGCTCACGATGGCAGCAATGACCCAAGAATGTGTCTCCCCCTGAGCCAGGCCTCCCTTCCATCACGGTACCCTTTGGCGGGTCCTTCTCATGTGAACTCATAGCTGTTGAGCTGTTTGTATGTGCTGCGGCACTCTGTGTACTACCTCATTTAACTTTCTCTGGATAATATCAAGGTAGACTGCCATGCCCATTTCATAGCTGAGGAAACTAAGGCTCAGAACAAATACAATGCCTTTCCCAGGTCTGTCTCACTTCAGAGCCCAAGCCCCTAACCATTACACTGTACAACCCCCAGCAGATACAGCCGTTTACAGTAGTCCTTGCTGCTTTTGGCTCTTACCTGCTTCCACGTTCAATCAGGGGTTGCTCACTCTCATCCTTCAGGGAGAGCCCAGCGAGTTTCCTTCGTATGAGTATGGATATTTTCTGTTTGGGGGGCTCCATTCCTAGAAGCAAGAGAAAGGCTACTGACTGCAGCCTCACTGACAGCCTGAGATCAAGGGAATTCCCCTAGCATTACATTTAGAGGAGGGAGGACGGTGCCCCTCCTCCCCACTTGGAGTTATGGCAGGCAGAGCCCTCTCCATGGAGAATATGAATGCAGCGGCCATGCAGCTCAGGGTGGTGGCAGGGGCAGGAGGTCATGGCTGAAGGAATCTGAGGAGTGGTGTGGGTGCTGTTCCTAGCTCCAAATCTGAGCCTGATGCTCTGAGCTTCCAGCAGTTTCCATGAGTCCCGGGATATGCTTCATATCCTTCTCTGGCTTAGACTAGCTCCTATGGGTTCTGAACTAAGAATCTCCCCTGGAACAAACATGTTCAAGGTTGTCCCTTGACTATCTAGCTCAATAATCCAATCTTTGATGCTCTGATGTTCCTTCTAAATCAGGGGGTGAGGGGGTGGGGGGGCTCTGTGTGCAGAGAGCCAGCAGGCAACCTGTACGCTCTTCTGCCATGAATGGCAGGGCCCAGTGGCCTGGCTCAGAAGTCAAGTTACAGAGCAGGCAGAGGCCTCCTAGAGCCTGGTGCAGGGAGTCCTCCTGGCTCAGGGGTTCCTTGCAAGGGACTGTGATCTGCTCTACTGCCAGTTCACCTCCCTGTTCTTCCTAGGGTCTCAACCCCAGCATCTCTGCAAGGCCCCGCTTTCCCAAGTGAGGCTCACCCTTGACAGAGGCCTCTGATATAGAAAAGTGGCCAGCACTTCAACAATGTGTATACACTTTGACCCAGACATTGCACGTCTAGGAGTCTGTTGCCCTAGAGATGCATGGATGCAGAGTCTCCAGCACAATGACAGGAGTAGGAAACCAGAAATGATCCAAAGGGATGAATTAGTAAGTTACAATGCTTATTAAATTATGGTGTGCAGCAACTGAAAATGCTGAAGAAGAGGAGTGTTGACTGGCCAGCCCGGCCAAGGTTCACCTGCAGGGAAATCAGGTCACAAAAGCATCCAGGCACCTGCAGGGAAATCAGGTCACAAAAGCGTCCAGGCCCTACAACCTTCCCCAGGCACCCTGACACACAGGCCTGTGCCCAAAGGGAAAGGTCTGGAAGGATGAACAGCAAGTGCAAAGAGCGCTGCATTCAGGGCGGAAGGATGTGTTCTTCACTTGCTGCTTGGTTTCAGATTGAATTCCTTGTTTTACTGGAATAAACATTTATTGTTTTTGTAATAAAAACCTTTAAAAATAAAAAGGATGCATTTTAATTACTGTATAGATCAGTGATAAATGGATATTTAATGTATGATTTTAATTTTATAGTTATAAAATATGTATGTTATTAAAAATGTAAATATCACTTCATGATGAAAAAAAGGTTTTAAAGAGATTTCTCTCCATCCCACCCAGCAGAGGTGATCAGCAGCTTGGTACCTGTCTCTTTGTCTCTGTCTCTCACACAGATTCACGTAAACAGATGTGAGTATGCATGTTGATATCACACATGTATTTTAAAAGATGGGATCATAGGCACGTCCTGTTTGTCAATTTGTTTTTTTACACAATAGTCCTCCTTCCTGTCTTTCCATGTCAGCACATGCAGACCTACTTTAACAGCTGCTTGGTATTTACCACTGCATATCTGGCACCTCATTTACACATCATCCAATTTTCTGTTTTCTTTTTTTTCTTTTTCTTTTCTTTTTTTTTTTTTTTTCCCCTGAGTTGGGGTCTTGCTCTCTCACCAGGCTAGAGTGCAGTGGTGTGATCAAGGCTCACAGCAGCCTCGGTTTCCCAGACTTAAGCAATCCTCCCACCTCAGCACCCTCCCAACCCCACTGCCATCTCCAGGAGCTGGATCTGGAACTACATGTGCAGACCACCTCACCGAGCTAATTTTTAAATTTTTAGTAGAGATGGGATTTTGCCATGTTGCCCAGGCTGGTCTCAAATTCCTGGGCTCAAGAGATCCACCCACCTCAGCCTACCAAGTGCTGAGATTGCAGGTGTGAGCCATCATGCCTTGCCCATCGAATTTTCTGTATATCAGTGTTAGTGTTGTTTTCAATTCTTTGCTATTTCAAACAGTGATGTGATGAATATTTTTTAGCATACACCTTTGAAAAAGTGTCCAATATTTCTCTCAGATGAATTCCTAGAATTAGAACTGCTAGGCCAAATGTCTACACACTCAGATTTTTGAAAGGGACTGACAAATTGTTCTCCACTACAGTGGTATCCATGTACACTCCTACCAAGAGTCTCTATGGAGTATCTGTTTCTTGACATTCTTTTACAATGCTACCAAATGTCAAAACTTTGCCAGGCTATTGGTGAGAAACCATATGTGAATCATGCTTACATTTTCATTTTTCATCATCAATGAAATTGAGCTTGTTTTATAGTGACTAGCCATAGGAACTACTTCTCTTTTGAAGCACATGTGTTTGTCCTTCAAGTCGTTAAAAATCTGACCTGTGAGAGTTCTTTGTACCACAGGGATATTAACCCTTTCTCTGATCTATAGGTTGTGAGGAATACATTTCCAGTTTGGGGTTTGTCTTTCCATCTTTTGACAATTTTCCATTTTTGTTTTGGCTACAGAGAAGGGCCAGCCATTCCCTCTACGGCTCCTAGCTCTCCTGTCAGACCTAGAAAAGGTGTCCCTAACCCCAAAAGTATGGAAATGTTTACTTAATAGGGTTTCATTTTTTATATATAAATGTCTAGCCATCTGGCATTTGCTTTTTAATAAAAAAATTATTTTTAATGAAAACAAAAATTAATCAGTTCCCTCAATGGATAACCTGTTTTCACTCTGATGGAGCAGGGGAAAGCAGAGCCCTGTGTGACCTAGCCCTCACCAGCACCCCGGGGCCAGGGCACAAGGCTGACAGTTTCTCTTACTTGCAACTTGGACATCGTCAATGGTGACCACCTCATCCAGCTGCAGCAGGAGCTTCTCAGTGAAGGCGGCCAAGTTGGTTATGAAAATCTGGCCATTCTTTCTGGTACATTCCTGGAAAAAACACGGTGAGCACAGTGCTGCTGGGATAGGAGGCCAGCTGAAGAGGGATTGGGTGGACTCTGCAGGGAGATCTTATATCCACCGTATCCAAGTAACCAGCATCTGGCCCTCAGCCAGGAGGCCTCTCCCGAGATGTGGTCTGGTTTAAAGATAAGAAATGATTCAGAAATGGCCAAGGGACACACACAGACAATTCACAAAAGAGGAAATAAAACTAGGCATGGATCATGAAACAAAACTTATCATCAGTAATTTTGTAATTAATTAATTTAGAAGTCAAAAAGGATACAAATTACAACAGCCAATAATGGCCATTTTTACCTACAAAACCCACCTACTCTCATGCCTTCTTTGGCAAAGATGCCAACAAAGGGCTGCTCCCAGCACCATCAGTGGCTGTCCATTGGGCCATTTTTGGAGCGTTCCTGGACAGGGGAATCAATGGTATCACTGACCTGCAGCTTCTCCCTGTTCATCCTAATCATGCTGTCCAGCTCTTCCTGCCTTTTCTCTTCATTTAAGTGTAGAGACTCCTTTTCTTGGAAATGTATGGGGTGCCCAAGATTTAGATGGAGCTTCTGGGCATTTTTGTCCTTTAATCAAACAATCCAGAATTCAGCGGTGATGTTGACCCACCAAAAGTCATTGGCATGTGTCTTCTGTCAATTATGATTATGGCCAGACTCATGCGTCCTCTGACCTGGGTGTGTGTGGGCAATGGGTGGGCAGAATAGTGGCAGAGGGGTTAAGAGGGGGGCATGGCTGGAGCTGACTCAGGGGGTTTGGAAGAGAAAAGGCTGAGCATCTGCCCAGCACAATCAGAGCTTTAGTCCAGTGAAATCAGCAGCACCCATATTCCACAGCTCCAAGGACCATCTTGGACAATTATTGTTATCTCAATGACTATAGCCCCATGGAACCTAGCACACCCATTATAGCCAACAAGAAGTTTATTGAGCACCTTCTATATCAAAGCTGTTGGCTCAGTTCTTATTTCGCCAGTGGCTCCTGTCCCTCATGCCCCATCAAAAAATCCCAAGCCCAGCTTACCTTCTTCCCTTGGATGTGGCCCTGCCCACTACCTGCCACCATTTCTGAACTCCCAAGTTCCCCTGGTCCTGGAGTGGAAGGGCTGGTCCAGGGGCACTCACCTTTCTTTTCTCTAGCTGCTTGTGGAGTTCCTCAAACCGTCCTCGGATCTCCTTCATGGAGGTGCAAAACTTGTTCCAGTGGTGCTCCTTCAAATTTTCCATCACTAACCAACACACTTGGGGCAGCAGCTCCTCAAATCTCCTCATCTGGATTCGTAATTCTGCCAGAATTGCAGGTAGGAGGTCAAGGGAGGGAACAGAGTAGAATCAAGTTGTGGAGGCGATCTCTCCAACAAAGGCCCAAAGCAGCTTCCCAAAGAGAAAATCTTGGTCTCTAATGTGGTAATAGCTAGTCCATCAAAAGGGGTCCTGGGGTCAAACTAGTACAGAAAATATGATAGCCAGGAACAGTGGCTTATACCTGTAAGCCCAGTACTTTGGGAGGCTGAGATGGGAGTATTGCTTGGGGCCAGGAGTTCAAGACCAGTTTGTCAATATAGCAAGACCCTGTCTCTAAAAAAAATTTAAACATTAGCCAGGCATGGTGGTACATGCCAGCTACTCAGGAGGCTGAGTGGGAGGATATTGTTTGAGCCCAGGAGTTTGAGGTTATGGTAAGCTATAATTGCACTGCACTCTAGCCTGGGCCACAGAGCGAAACCCTGTCTCTAAAATAAAATAAAATAAAATAAAATAAAAAGTGGCTTAAATAAATTCAGAGGGCTCCTATATATTCTTCAGACTTCTCATCTCATTTAAAATGCATTGTATCTCTCAGCATTTTTGGCTCTCATCTATTATTTCAACTATTGCTTTGATTCTAGGTCTCCCTCTTTCTCTGTATCTCCAAATTGCCATATGTTAGGCCTGCTCTTTCATTCATATCTCTTTATCTCTCTCCCATATTTTCATCTCTTTATCTTTCTGTGTTATATTCTGATTATTTTCTTTGGATTTGCCTTCCAGTTCACCAGTTCTACTTTCAGCTGCATGTAACCTGATAATAAAGTCATGCATAGTTTTAAATTTTCAATTCTTAATTTTTCCTGCATAGAAGTTCTATTTTATTCTCTTTCATAGCTACTTGGTCATTTTCATAGTCTCTTGCTTCTAATTCATTTTTCCAACTCCCTCTTTTATTTAACTTGAAGTGTATTATTTTATATTCTGTGTCCAATACTTTAATATCTGAAGTCTTTGCTGGTCTCCTGCTGCTGCCTTTTGCTCAAGGCAATTTGTTTCCTTGTGTTTATGGGAATTTTGTTGCTCTCTGTTTATCACTGAGTTGTTATTCTGGGCATTTTATCTGTGGGAATCCTTTGAGGTGTGAACTGAAGGTAGGTTTTCCTAGAGAGAATTTGTTATATTGCTAATAGGCAAGCTTCTGAACACCACCAACTCAAGATCATTTTAAGCTCAGGTATTAGCTTGAGGTCTTTTGGATGATCCACAAAAGCAAAACTGAATTCATGTTTAGATAAGTGTAAATTATCTAAACATAAATTTAGAAACCACACAAGGGCTGGCATATAGTTCTGGATTTCTTTTTGGAGTTTTTTTTCTTCACCCAGTACCACGGTTTTTAATAAGACAGTTTCCTTCTCATTACTGGAAGGGAGAAAGGGAAGAGCTTGGTTTCTGTCTCATTTGCCTTACTCTGGAAACCCTGTTGGATTCCACCTTTAGGTAGCTTGCTCCTTTTAGACTTTCCGCCTTAGAGGTCTGTGGATTTGTCTCTTGTTCTCAATACTCTGGAGGCCATGAAAATAGGGGCTCAAGTTCACCTGGGAGTCAGCAAATGCCCCTAGGGTAATAACCAGGGTTCCTACTCAATTTATCCTCAGAGTTTCTATTTTACTTAATTTTTTGCTTTTGTGTGCTTTTCAGTTTACAAATAGCTCTCTAATGCATTTAAAAGATTTTATTATGAAAATATTTTAGGCAGCATTTTACATGTTTTAGTGGGAGAGTGGATCCTCCATTAGCCAAGCTGCAGGAAATAGAAGTCTTCAGTTAACATGAATTGTGAGTTTACCAGATAGGGATGCAGTCTGGCAGCATTTTCCAAGCCCATTTGACCATGGAACCTTTGTTTTGAGGACAATCATGTAGGATGGGATCCCACAGAGTTTACATGGGGGAAATTCTGAGCTAGAGAAACAAAACGATGCCTGTAGTTTCAAGTCCGGTCATTCAACAGATACAGCTATGAGTACTGTAGCTGCTTAATTCCCTGTACATGCCATGTCTGTGTGAGGGAAGGACTTAAACCTCAAGAAGGCCTTCTGTCGTAGGTGTTAGTAATATCTGCAGTCCACAGACAAGAAAACCGAGGCTCTGGCTGGGCGCAGTGGCTCATGTCTGTAATCCCAACACTTTGAGAGGCCGAGGCGGGCAGACCATCAGAGGTTAGGAGTTTGAAATCAGCCTAGCCAATATGGTGAAACTCTCTCTACTAAAAATACAAAAATTTGCCGGGCATGGTGGCATGTGCCTGTGGTCCCAGCTACTCAGGAGGCTGGGGCAGGAGAGTCTCTTAAACCCAGGAGATGGAGGTTGCAGTGAGCTGAGATTGCAGATCATGTCACTGGGCAACAGAGTGAGACCTCATCTCAAAAAAAAAGAAAAAAAAAATCAGAGAGATGAAATCATTTGGCCAAGTTCATATAGCTGGGAAGTGGCAGTGCTGGGTCCTGGCCCAGGTCTGGCTATCCCCTAAACTCTCCTCCTTCTACCCAGGAGGCCTCTGAAACAGCACAGTAGACCACAGCAAAGTGTGGCAGATTCATACAATAGAGTATTATTCATTGATAAAAAGGAATGAAGTATTAATACCATCTACAACATGCATAAACCTTGAAAATTTATGCAAAATGAAATAAGACAGTCACCAAAGACTATATACTATATAATTCTATTCTCATGAAAGTAAAGAATAAGGAAGTCTATAGAGACAGAAAGTAGATTGGTGGTTGCTGTATGCTGGGGAGGGTTGGCGGATGGGGTTTCTAAAATTGACTGCGGTGGTGATTGCATAACTCTGTAAATAAGCTAAAAACCATTTACACTTCATAGGTAAATTTTATGGTATGCAAGTATCTCAATAAAGCTGTCAAAAATACCTGTGGAAGAAGCAAAATATTTTTAGAGGTACAAATCACTATATTTCTTAAGAAAAGTGAAATTTTTTTTTCGTATTGTTGCTTTTCCCCAGTAAAATCTGATTGTTGTTTTTACCTAATTTTAAGAGGTCAGCTTTTCACAGGGAAGCTCCTCTGCCTCCCCCAGATGAGAGGATCCAGGTCACAAGACCAAGGCTGAGCTCCACCACTGGCTTCTCACGATGCCCCACTCCCTGTGCCTACCTACATACCCACCTATGAGGCAGGAGTTGTGGTACTCATCTGCCTGGCTCTGGTACTCCAGGATCTTTTTGCCGATGTTCTCTGCGCACTGGTCGAAGGTATCATACATGCAGTCAGGCCTGGTGACCGGGCGTTTTTCTTTACGGTAGAACTCCTGCCGGAGAGGGTCGACCATGTGTGGGTGAGGACCCCATGGGACTCTGGCCCTTGCTCCTGGGATCTACCAGCCTGCCCTCGCCTCCACACTCCGCAGCCTTTGCTCGTGGCTTCCCCTGTGGAAGTGACACGGGCAGACACTCCTCCTTCCCTGTCTGCGCATGTCACCTCCCTGGGCCCACCTACAGTGACTGGGGCCATGGCCAGCCCTCGTTATTTCTTGAGGGCCCACCTAGATT